AACTGACCTATTTGCGGTGGGTCAGAAAACCCCACAGCGCTGGGGGCAAAACCTCCCCTCCAGCAGCCCCTTTGCCAGGAAGGGCCCCAAAGGCAGAAGCTTCCCAGGACCCTGCATGAGTGTGTGTGTGTGTGTGTGTGTGTGTGTGTGTGTGTGTGTGTGTGTGTGTGAAGGCGCCCAAGGACTCCCCAGTCAGCTGCCTAAGAGACCCCCCTCCAAGTCCTCGCTGGCTGTGGGGCTGCTCCTCCCCTTTTTTCATCCACTGTAGCCCCCCCCATAGAATCCGGGGGGGGGGAGGGCAAAGGGAAGTCCATCCTCCGCTCCGGGGTTGTCGTGAAATACCCTCTTGAGCTGCACTTCTTCAGCAGAAACAACCAAGGTTCCTCTGTGTGTTTGTGTGTTTGTGTGTGTGGGGGGGGTGTTGAGGGCTGGGGTGGCAGGAGGAACTCAGAGAAAATCAAAATCTTGCTGGGGAAACAGGAAAAGAGTCCAGGAGTTCTGCTTTGATCAGGCGAGCGATGGACCCCTCCCCCCCCAGACGCTGCCTGGATCTGGGACCCACTTTGGGCGACTGGCTGGATGTACACAACTGTGGTGCAGCCTCCTTCAGCTGCGGGGGGGGGACCCGGCTCTGGCCTGCCAGGCTGTGCTGGGCCAGGGGGGAGTCTGACCCTTCCAGTCCCCCCCCCCGTTCCTTTGGAAGGATTCAGGCCCCCTCTGGACCCCCAAAGCTGTTTTGAACAGAATCGGGAATGGAGGATCGGCCTGACCAGCCTTTGCGGAACTGACCACAACCCGAATGTCCTAGAAAAAGTGGTTTCCATGGATGTAGCGAAACATTAAAAAAAGAATGTCTGGTTTTTTGGATAGTTTGTGGGGGGAGGTTTTTGGACATTAATGGTTAAGGTTGTAATCCTATAATTGAGGATAAACGATTATTGAAGTCCACAGTATTTCTACTAATTTTCCGGGTTATTTTATAAATTATAAATTTATTCTTTGGTTTAATATGCTGTCCATGCATCCATCCGTCCATCCATCCATCCTTCTTAAAATAGTATTGAGATCTTTCACAAGGGAGAAAACCTGCTCGGATCCTCTTATTTTTTTATTATTTATTTATTTTAAATTTTTATTTTATTTTATTTTATTTTGAAAATGTCATTTTATTTATTAAACATATTTATGTACCCACCCGCTCGGATCCTCTTACACATCCCGTCCATGGATATGGATTTTTTTTTTCCTTCTTCGGGCAAAATATCCCCTCCCACTCCCACCCAGAGGAACGGAGCCAACCTCAAGAGGGTCGATTCTGGGGAGGGGGTCCCAGGGCTGATTCCCCCCCCATAAAATCCCCCCCCCCTTCTCCGCTTCTCCGCTTCTCCCTCTGCGCCCAACTCTCTCCTCCATCGGGTGAAGTCAAGGGAGACTCTGCCCGGAGATTGATGACGCGGCGGAAGGGAGAATTCCGATTGGTCCTCCTGCTTCTTCTGGGCCCTCCCAGTTCCGAAGTTCGAGGGAAACGCCCCCTCGCCCCCCAAGCCAGACCCCCCGATTCCGCCTCTGGGGCTGGGAGCCTCAGTGTCTCTGTCTCTCGTCTCTCTGGGGCGCTTGTGGGGCGGCGTCCATGGGCTCCGCTGGGCTCCCCCTGATGCTGCTGCTGCTGGCGGGGGCGCTGGCCCGGATCCCCGGAAGCGAAGGGGGGAAGGAGACCCCCGGTAAGGAGGGGCTGGGCGGGGGGAGGAGGAGGTTTGGGGGAGGAGGGGGCTGGGAAGCACCGCCGAGACTCGTGGGGGGAGAGGGGGAAGAAAGCTGCTAGCTCTTCAGAGGGTAAGAGTGACGGGAGCCGGCGACAGCCTCGATCTCTGCGTGGTCTCCTCCCCCTTCCCTCCCCACTTCCCCCCCAGGAGGGCGGAGAGGGACCCCCTCTTTCCCGATTGCAGCAGAGGTGGGGAGTCGCAGCCGGGCCCCTCTATCGCCCCCCCCTCCAAAATGGCCGGGTCGGAGTCGGAGCCACTGCGTGGAAAGAGGGAGGGGAGGGAAAGCGAAAGAGGGAAACTGAGGCATTTTCAGACCTGAATCCACACAAGGAAAAAGCTGCATTTTGGCCAAAGTATTTTTCCTTCTTCAAAGACTTCAAGTTTTCTTCCCAAATCTCAAATTTGAGGCTTTCAAAGTCAGGCCGGAGTTGAGCTTCGGTCCCTTCCGGGGGAGGCTCCGAATTTGGGGAGGAGGCCGAGAAACCCCCACCCCATAATCCCCCGTTGCTCTATCGGGACCTGGAGGGAGGGGGGAAGCGAGAGAGGAGCATTTGGGGGGGGGGCTCTGAATGGCTCCCCTATGGCTCCCCAAAACAATCCCTATCGTGAGGGGGGCTGGAGACCCTCCCTTTGAGATGCTCTTGGGGGGGCAGCTGCAGGGGGGCTTTGGGGGAGGGGGAGAGGAAACAAGTCTGAATCTCGAAAATCATCCCAAGGCAGGGAGTTGGGCTGAAGGTTGGGCAGAGGGTCTCCAACAGAGAGAGTCCTGGGCGAGTCTCACGTGTGACCCCCAACCGAAGCTCATCTGAGACCCCTCCCCTCAGAAAAGGCCCGGAGTGGTCCTGTGGCCAACGGCCTTGATCTCTGGGAAGGTCGCCCTGATGTCCATCTCCCTGGTCTGAGGGCTCCTGGGCAGGGGGTGTTGGGAAGGGTCTCTTCCCCAGGGCCTCTTGGGGCCAGAGCAGAAAGTCCAGCCGAAGCCATTCCTGGTGTAGGAGACATTTGCCATCAGGGGGGAGGGAGGGAGGGAGAGCAGCTCTGCGGGAGAGAGGAAAGATCAAGGGGGCAACTCTGAGTGGAAGACCCCTCCCTTCTCCCCAGCACCCCTAGATGCCCCTAGATAGCTCTCCCACTGAGCCTTGCCCCCTCCAGAAGCCATCCAGGCTGCTTCTGCAGGATTCCTATGGCTTCGATCTCCAAGGGCTGATTTTGTCTCCCTCCCATTCCTCATCTGGGGCACATAAAGACTAGGTCGGTGGAGGAACAGTCTCAAAACCTTACAACACAATGCCTCTCTTCACAATATTATGAGATCGTTCTGCAGTCAACATCACCTTAGATGCAAACTAAATACGGCTACCCCATATTTTCCTGGAACATAATTATGGGCTGCCACCTGGGGGAACTCGGGGAAGTATGTGTTGATGTACAGGAGCAACAGGCTTAGTTCCTTGCATCATCAGGGAGAGCCAGCAGGTGTAGGAATTTCTCACTCTTCCGTTGGACTCTTTCACTCAGCTGAATAAGAAGGGCTGGAGAAGAGAGGAGAACATTGCAGGGTTTACTAGACCCAAACCTCCTTTCTTCTCCTGCCAGTGATAGAACTGGAGTTAGAAAGGGCTCTTTGCCTTGAGGGGGAGCCCCTTTCTGAGGACTCCCCCCTGCCCACCTTGCCCTCACAGGCAGTGAGTATTAGAGGGTCAGTGAGGCTACACATGGCAAAACTAGCCAATCTGAAAAGAAAGTCAATTATTAGTAATTTAGGTCTTTGCCCAAGAACCGCAGGGAGCAGTTCTTTGCTCAAGAACCGCAGGGAGCAGGCAGAGGCTAGCTGTATTTCTGAAAGTGCACTGAAGTCTAGAAATAATGTTGAGCTCCTGGTATTACCCCAGAAACGGTCAATTATCTTGTGTAATGAGTACTGTATGTGCAAAGAGGGAAATGGGAACAAACTGACATGTTGTTCAACAATAAAGTGTCAAGCTGTGAAGATCCTTTGCTTTAGAACTGCCATGATGCTTCTAGCTCATTTCTGTGTTACGTGTACCCTGCCTGTGTTGTAAAAAATGCTGCATTAAAAGGCTAATAAAGAGTGGATATATGTTAACTATTGGCCCTAGACCTACTCTGGTACTTACTATTTGTATTTTAATAATTATTTTCAGTGAGGTCTGATTCATAGTTGAGATTTTAACATTTTATAGGATGATTTATGTCACAGGTTAAATATTTACATCCCCTTATAAATTTAGACATTGCAATAAAAGAGAAGTAGAAAGTGTGTGAATGAAAGTTGAGAGGGGGGAGGAATTGAATAGGTTCAGGCTTGTATGGATACTGGTTGTGCAAATTATGTTTTCACCTGTGTACGTTGTTAGATCACACCCTTTTATTAGCATAGGTGTAATAGTGTCCACAATAGTATCCCTCACATGTTGGCTGTGTTTGTTTGCCTGCATCAGGTCCTATGTGACTCACCTCAGATAATGTGGTTTTATTGTGTAGTCTATCTATTTGTTTAGATGGTATCTAATCAATTTCATAACATCTGTTGGTCTGTCTGTTTAACAAAAAGATTGGGCCAGGAAAGTATCCTCTCTCTCTTGCGGATTTCCTATTGCTGCATCTTCATTTCCTTTATCAAGATCCAGGCTGTGCTGATATTAAGTCACTCTTATTCTCAGTTGTATCCAATGCTATTTCACTTGAGAAAAAAAATAACCTTAAGAATTTTTTTTCTGCTCCTTTCTGAGATCTTAGTGAATAGCTTCAATCTGATTTTATACTATTTCTGCCGAAGAAACTACATTAGCTGGAAGACATCGGTGGCAAAGTAATCGCAAAGCAATAAATAAATAAACCAAAAGGGAAGAATGAGACTGTGTGAAATTATAGCATAATATGTGGTTGAAGAGCAGGCAACACCTCCCTCCCTCCCTCCCTCCCTCTTTCTCTCTCCCCCTCCCCCCTCCCTCCCCCTCCCTCTCTCTCCCCCTCCCTCCCTCCTTCCCTCCCCCTCCCTCTCTCTCCCCCTCCCTCCCTCTCTTTCTTTCCCTCCCTCCCTCCCTCTCTCTCCCCCTCCCTCCCCCTCCCCTCCCCCCCCTCTCTCTCCCTCCCTCCCCTTCCCTCCCTCTCTCTCCCTCCCCTCCCCCCTCCGTCCCCCTCCCTCTCTCTCCCCCTCCCTCCCTCTCCCTCCCTCTCCCTGCCTCCCCCCCTCTCTCCACAAATGTTTTAGAGTTTGATGGGTAGCAATTTTATTTAGATAAAGAAAGATAAAGCGATAGCAGGCGGCAATCTCAGGTCCTTGGCCATATCTTGAAGATATGCATGGTCCTAGATGGAGATGGCATTATTTTCCAATTTTGCTATACAAATGAGAAAAAAATAATAAGTTGATCAAAGTGAGTTTAAAGTAAATTCTTTGCTTTGCAAAGCTTTCTGAATGCAAACAATATCAGGCAGAGAATCTCATTATGTACTGTATCTGTAGTATCTCTATTAGAGGAGAGTTTTCTTACCGTTCACAGCACTTGTGTTCCCGCCCACAGTCCAGCTGCCCAAGATTAAAATGTCCACGAGGACATAGTTTGTCAAAGCAGTGTCCTCCTCGAGAAAAACACTGTCCTTGGGCATTCCCTATGAAAAGAAAAAGAGGAGACAGGTAAACGATGAGTAAAGATTCCTTAATATTTAAATATATTTTTCCTTCCAAGACACTACCTCCTTCTACAGAACTGCAGGATTCCTTTATCCATTTATATTTTTATTCATTTATAACATAAAAATATGAAAATAAAAAGCAAATAGTAAGGAACAACCACAGGGAAAGAGGAAATGTGGAAAGTGGGGGGAAGAAACAAAAGGCGTTGACTTCCGATTCCCTGTTGCAATAAAATAAGGCATGAAAATCGAATCTCAGCTTTTTTCATTTCTGTATTAGTATGAACTAGCCATTTCTCTATCAACAAATCAGTCTAATCAGTAAACCCCAAAATCATAGTATCATTTTTTTCCACCTCAAGCACAAAGGCCAGAAGCAGTTTCCAAGTAGAAACAATAGTACTTTTATTCTTTTCTTTTATCAAAACTGTCAGTTTAGCCAAATTCACTCAGTCAGCTTTCAGGCCCAAGGTGGGACTAGAACTCAGTACCCAGAGTTGTCGTGTTTTGCTCTAATCACTAGACCAAATTGTTTCTCCATTGTGCCTCCTTATTCAAACAAAACATATTTGGCTGAGAATTGGGTAAACCAATACTAAAGTGAAGCCTACCAAAAAAAAAATAAGCTACAATAACAAAACCCCCAATAAAGTTATTTCAAGAATTGTGAATCAAAAGAAAAATCAGTGGCATATTTATCTTTATCAAGTTCCAGGCTGTGCTGATATTAAGTCATCAGACAAAGTCATTCTTATTCTAAGTTGTATTTAAATGGTATTCAAAATGGTATTGAACTTGAGAAAAAATAATCTTAAGAATTTTTTTTCTACTTCTTTCCAAGATCTTAGTGAAAAGCTTAAATCTGATTTTATACTATTTCTGCCCAAGCAACTACATTAGCTGGAAGACATCAGTGGCAAAGTAATCACTACAATAAATAAATAAACCCAAAGGGAAGAATGAGACTGTGTGAAATTATAGAATTATAGCACAAATTATAGCTAATTATAGCACAAAGTCCAGAAGCAGTATCCAAGTACAAACAAAAGTACTTATATTCTTTTCTTTTATCAAAACTGTCAGTTTAGCCATCTCTGCTAACTCCATCAGCTTTTGTAACTATTCATCCAAGATGGGAATGGAAGCATCCTTCCAACAATTGCAGGATTCCTAGGACCACAGCAAGATTTCTCTGACCACACAGATCCATCTCTGCTGATCTCCTGCAGCACCTCAAATAAATCAGCCATTAACCCAGGTTTGAAGTCTGACTCAAAGATGAATTAGCTGGTAAGCCTACATCTATTAATGTAGGAGGGAAGAAATAATTCTATCTCATATGAAGGATAGATCTTACTGTGATATATTTCTCTCCAGTATTGCCAAGGATCCTTGCTGAGTTACAGTGGCCAGTTGCATTGTGTGTTTTGGATGAAGACCTTGAGTGAGCTGAGAATTTTGTAAACCAATGTTAAAGTGAAGTAAATCAACAAAAATAAGCTACATTAACAAAACCCCCAATAAACATCTTTCAAGAATTGTGAATCAAAAGAAAAATCAATGGCATATTTTTTAAATATTTGGAGGCTCATGTTGTCAATAGTCTATACTGTTCAAAGCTATTTCTGTAAAGTAAAACAAAAAGATGTTGAAGATTATCCTACTTTCAGTGATGATCGTATTTGTTTAAAAAGGAGTGAGTTACCAATCCTTTGTAAATTATCAGTAATTTTGTTTCTTACCTGGTTCAGACAGGAATGCAAGGAAAAGAAATGTGAACAGCAGATAAAGGATCTTCATGCTGAGACTGGTTCTGGACCAAATCTTACTCCTGGGACAGACATGGCTCTCTATTTATGGAGTTGTAATGATTGCATCATATCACCTCAGTGAACTGTTGCAATTTAGTTCTTACCTAAGGCAACGGTGCATCTTCCTTGTATTGAAACACTCCTATTTGTTAGCTGTTACAAAAGCCCTGAGAAGAGCAGCAGACTTAGTTGAACATCTAACCTGCTATGGCTATAAAAGATGGGAGGCTCAGGACTTGCAGTGTCCGAATGGGTCAAAGAAAATTCCTTACTGAATTGCTGCCCAAAATCTACAGTCCATGATGATAATGCTCGGCCATGTTCACCAATGGATGGACTTTGGGAAGAGCCCTTAGAAGTAAGTGATGGAAATCTGGGGTTGGCACTGCTATCATGGGCGACACATTTTTATGGGTGGGTTTTGGGAAAACAGCTGCTCTGCTTCCTGGTGGGTCTTTGTGGCACTCAGATGAAGCACAGACTGATTTGGCTTTCGTTGAAGTATTCCTCCTCATCCAGGAGATTTCTATTTCTCTGAAGACAGAGAATATGCAGAGTTGGAAATATCCCTGCAGTCTTAATTGAGGGTTAATAATAATAATAATGATAAAGTTGGAAGGGACCTTGGAGGTCATCTAGTCCAACCCCCTGCTCAGGCAGGAAACCCTATACCATTTTGGACAAATGGCTGTCAAGTTTCTTCAAAAACTTCCAGTGTTGGAGCATTCACCACTTCTGGAGGCAGGTTGTTCCACTGGTTAATTGTTCTACCTGTCAGAAAGTTTCTCCTTAGTTCTAGGTTGCTTCTCTCCTTGATTAGTTTCCACCTGTTGCTTCTTGTCCTGCCTTCCGGCGCTTTGGAGAATAGCTTGACTCCCTCTTCTTTGGGGCAGCCCCTGAGATACTGGAACACTGCTATCACGTCCCCCCTCATCCTTCTCTTCGTTAAACTAGACATCCCCAATTGCAGCAACCGTTCCTTATATGTTTTAGCCTCCAGTCCCCTAAGCATCTTTGTTGCTCTTCTCTGCACTCTTTCTACAGTCTCAACATCTTTTTTACATTGTGGTGACCAAAACTGGAGGCAGAAGTCCAAGTGTGGCCTTACCACTCCTTATTAGGAGTCCTGTGGGACACAGAAGATCAACTGAAATTGAGAAGGAGAGCTGGGTTCCAAAAGCTGTGAGTGTTGGTTACATTGAATGTTTCCTGCTGCTTCAGTTACAAAGGATCTCATGGGGGCCATATTTTTTTATTACTTACCTCTGCATTTCAGTGGTGAGAACAATATGGCTTTACACTTAGGCAAGAAAAAAGGAATGCACAGGTATAGAATAGGTGATACGTGGCTCAATAGCAGTAACTGTGAGAGTTTGGCTCCAGAGGTTTTGGGTGCTCCATCACTGGAGGTTTTTAAGAATAATTTGGAAAGCCATTTGTCTGGAACGGTGTAGGGCTTTCCAGCTTCAGCATGGGATTGGACTAGCAGGACCCTGCCAAGTCGGTTATTCTGTAAGTTCTGTTGGTTCTCAGGTGTCGCATCCAGTTGCCATGGATGCTGTAGAGATTTAGAGATGGTTTCAGAGTGAAGCACAAGCATTTTCCCGTGCCCTGAATAACACAGTAACTTAAAATCTATTTTCAAAAACAAAATACTCAGACTTAGTTACATATAAAATCATCCTAGTTTCACAAACTAAATATGACTTTTCAACATTTGCCTATTTTTCAACAACTTTTTCTCTTCTCTCTTTTTTTCTTCTCCCAATCTGTAATACAATTGCTCTGAGAAAGGATCCTTACAGTGAAGGATGAGAAGAATAGAAAACAAAAAAACCCCACTGAAAAATTTAACAATTTCTGTGTTAGATGCAGAAATATAATACAGAAAATGTTAAGTAATCAAGATGCAAAGAATTGTTGCAGTGAAAAAGCATCCTTGGAGGGTCTCTCAGGGAGTCAATATTGAGCCTGGTTGTTGGTGAGCAATGCATTGAAAGTTCCCAGCAATGAGTGGAAAAGGTGGTTGTTGAGCCATATCTCCTAAGCTTTGCCTTGAGGGCTGGAGCCAATTTCTGTGGACTCCCATCAAATAGCCTTGATACAGGACCTGATAGAAGGTGAACATGCAAAATTAGAAATCAATTAACCACAGGTGCACTAAAGAGTAGGAGACCAGTGAGACTGAAAATGGCAAAATTGGCAGCCCTAAAAAGAAAGGAAATTCATATTTAATAATGTAGTTCTTTGCCCAAGAGCCACAGAAAGCAGTTAATGAGGAAATTGTGGAAGTGCCTTGAAACCTTGAAATAATGTCAAACTCCTGCTATTTCCCAAGAAACGGACAATTACTTTATGTAATGAGTGGGTGCAGCAACGGTAATGAGGAAAGCACAGATGCAAACTGACTTGGTGTTTAGTAATCAAGTTAAGTAAGGTAGAGAATAATAAAATAAGTGGAGACTATGACTTAAATTTAGGTTTAAAAATAATTGAGGAACACTCCATAGTCCCTTCCATCACATTTTTGTTCATTTGCTTGAGAGTGTGTTTGGGGCTCAATGGAGCCATGAGAAGTAGGATTGATATGTACCAAAACTGAAGAAAAAGGTGATGCCAATATGACATTTGGGTTGCATGTGCTGTTAAGAGGACTTGGATCCTATTCTCATAATAATTATCTGATTTTAGATGAGTCAAAGTCAAAAGTGATGGTTCTTGGAAAATGACAGCATTGCCCTATAGGGCTAATCGATGAGGAGGCAACAGAGCAAGTTCACACCTTTCCTTACCTGGGGGAATTTTCTCTGGGACTGGATCTGGGCTCCCTCAACATCAAAGGAGCTCACTTAGAAGGCACAAGTGAATGCACTGTTCATTTTTTTTAAAAAAAACCTCATAGGTATGCAGCTTCCTTAGACTGAGTTATTAAATACAAAATACCACCGTTACTATTATGCACTTATATTGAGCTGAACTTTGGGATTTAATTTATATCACTATTAGAACAAATTAGATCACATATCTGAGAAGTATCTTGAGGGTGGATGAAAGGACTTCAACTGCTGCCCTCAGAGCAGAATTGGGAATTTATACAATTTATAAAATTGGGGTATATAAATATTTTTATTAAAATTAATGGTATGGAAAATAATAACAATAGTAATAATAGTGATGATGATGATGATATTGGAAGGGACCTTGGAGGTCATCTAGTCCAACCCACTGCTCAGGCAGGAAACCCTATACCATTTCAGACAAATGGCTATCCAATCTCTTCTTAAACACTTCCAGTGTTGGAGCATTCACAGCTTCTGGAGGAAGGTTGTTCCACTGGTTAATTAGTTAGTTAGTTTCCATCCGTTGCTTCTCATCCTGCCTTCAGGTCCTTTGGAGAAGAGCTTGACTCCCTCTTCTTTGGGGCAGCCCCTGAGATATTGGAACCCTGTTATCATGTCACCCCTCGTCCTTCTCTTCGTTAAACTAATAAGAGTGCCCAAATGCTATTAGAACAAACAAATTTCATTTAAAACATTCTTGATTTTATATTGGGAACTGTCATCTGCCTGTCTTTTTTGCCACTCGAGAAAAACCTAAAAAATGCTGCACAAAGAATCCAAGATGGTCAAAACAGAGAAAAGTAGGGCGTCTTCAGTAAGGCTGGCACACTGAAAGGCATCAGCTGCTACAAATGTACCTTCCAAGTATTGAGTTAAATCTACAAGTATACAATGAATATACTTGTATTTGTGGAGTTCCAGAAGTAGAAGATGTAGTACATCTCTTATTTTGAATGACAATTATTTAAGAAAGAGGGAGATCAATATCTTGGATTGCACTTTAGAGAAACAGTCTATTGGGATCAAGCTGGCAGGAATAGCCAACACTCCAGAAGACAGGCTTAGGATACAGGAGGATCTGGACAGACTTGAACACTGGGCACTATCTAACACAGGGATTCTCAACCTTTCTAATGCCGTGACCCCATAATACAGTTCCCCATGTTGTGGTGACCCCCAAGTGGGTGTGGCCACCAATAAGAGGGAGTAGGACAGCTAGGGAAAAGGGAAAAAAATGGTGGACAGCATGGTTTGGTGACCCCCGGGAAATGGTCATTCGACCCCAAATGGGGTCCCGACCCACAGGTTGAGAACGACTGATCTAACAGAATGAAATTCAGTGGTGAAAAAAGTAAGGTTCTACATTTAGGCAAGAAAAACCAAATGTACAGGTATAGTATCGGGGGTACCTTGCTCAATAGCAGTAATTGTGAGAGGGACCTCCGAGGCCTAGTGGTCAATCACTTAAATATGAGCCAGCAGTGTGCTGCAGCTGCCAAAAAGGCCAACACAGCGCTAGGCTGCATGAACAGAGGGATAGAATCAAGATCACGTGAAGTGTTAATACCACTTTACAAGGCCGTGGTAAGGCCACACTTGGAATACTACATCCAGTTTGGGTCACCACGATGTAAAAAAGATGTTGAGACTCTAGAAAGAGTACAGAGAAGAGCAACAAAGAGGATTAGGGGACTGGAGGCTAAAACACATAAGGAACGGTTGCTAGAATTGGGCATGTCTAGTTTAACGAAGAGAAGGATGAGGGGGGACATGATAGCAGTGTTCCAATATCTCAGGGGCTGCCATAAAGAAGAGGGAATTAAGCTATTTTCCAAAGCACCTGAAGGCAGGACAAGAAGCAACGGGTGGAAACTAATCAAGGAGAGAAGCAACCTAGAACTAAGGAGAAACTTCCTGACAGTGAGAACAATTAATCAGTGGAACAACCTGCCTCCAGAAGCAGTAAATGCTCCAACACTGGAAGATTTTAAGAAGAGACTGGACAGCCATTTGTCCGAAATGGTGTAGGGTTTCCTGCCTGAGCAGGGGGTTGGACTAGATGACCTCCAAGGTCCCTTCCAACTTTACTACTATTACTATTACTATAAAAAAAAGAAGAACAACAAACAACAATATAAAATCGAAAGAAGAACTATCTGATGCTGCAAACTCCCTTCTCTGAGGTAATCCACCAGATTCTTATCCTGCACTGACCTTACCCTATCCCAAATGGTTGGGAGAAGTAGCAAGTCTCCAGATGTTTAAGAGGATGGGGGACTTATTCATTTTCAAGGGGGAGTAAGTCCAATAGGGCAGGAACTGCAGCAGAAAAGGCAGGCTTCTGATGATCCATAAAGTGGGAATCTTTTAGGGAATGGATTGTTTGCATGCCAATTATATCTGCTCTGGTGGGACAAGCAGATATCCTCAAGCAGAGAAAACCCTGCAGATGCCCTGGTTCTGTCTCATGGAGGGTTTGAAAGATGAATTTAATTGCACCTGGAAAGAAACTGGGATTCTGTGGAGCCTGCACAGCAGGGGTGTCCTATAGAAGAACACACGGAAACTCAACACTGCATGCCTTTGCATTCTGGACCATTTTATAAATTCCAAGTGGTTTTCAAGAGCAACCCTATGAGTATGGGATAAAAAGATAGAAACAGAAAACTGATGGCAGAAAAAGACCTAGTGCTGCATCGATTCTGCCCTTTGAGTTTTTTGTTTTCTTACTTATTTAATATTTCAATTCATTTTTTTCAAAAAAAATTCAGATGATGGACATATGTTTATCCCAAAAAGGTTTAAACTCAGTTACTGATGAGTGACCCACCAACCATGCTCTCAATACACTGCTCCAAAAATACTGGACAGAGGATAAATTTGTCTAACATGGTTGGATCCATGAAGAACCACTTGAGAAGGGTTGCAACACTGACTATTTCAGGACAGGTTGTACAGTCCCCTTCACAAAAACACCATTGACTATCCTGAAATTGAGAGCGTCTCCTAACTATTAGGCCTTCTAGAAATTCCTTCAAATGTGATACTTTCAATGGTCCTGGGGATCTCCTGGTAACAGGGCCCCGTGTGCTGGTTTCATGGTAGGTAGCATCTTGATGTATTCCTCTCTTGCTCTCTTAGCATTTATACCTCAATGTTTTAATTTTTATGATTGGTTTAATTGTATCCCACCAAGAGTCACTTTGTGTGAAATAGCCATATAAACCCGATAAATAAATTTGAAAAAACATCTTAACGAAGATTAATTCATAAATAAATTCAACAACAGGAACTGAGTGTGTTATTTCTATTTTTACCCTGTAAAAATGAGAAGGTGAAGCAATATGTTTCCATATTCTCTCAATTTGGCAAAATTTTAAAGAGAATGAATTCAACATTGGTATCAAAGGATATTTAGTAGATTGGTCTTTTATTAGTTCTCTGTTTCCTCCTTCTTTCTGTTCATTTTAATCCCAACACTGCATGTTAGAATTTTTTTCCTTTCAGGAGCACAACTATATTGCATTTGGGGGGGGGAGTGTTATATCTTACTACAGTATTTAACAAGAAAGAAATTTGGAAAGATAAGAAAAGGTGGAAAGGAAATATCTACTTGATGACTTTATGCTGACTCCTGTCTTTGGGTTTCATTGTTCCTTTAACCCAACATCTCTCCCTCTATTGTTCCTCCCAATTAGATATCTCAGCTTATAAGGATAAATGATCTTACTAAAGATTAACTGATTAAATGAATGATTGATCGATGCATCTATCAGTTTGTAATGTAAAGTCGGTTTAGGCAGGGCTTTTTTTCTCATAGAGCGCCCAGAATGGAGTTCTGGCACCATTTTTGGATGGAATCTTGTAGGGTAGGCAAGGCGGGTTGTATGATGTGTATGAGTTCTGGCACCTCTTTTTTTGGGGAAAAAAGCACTGGGTTTAGGTAAACAAAACCCATTGATCAAAAATTATTCCTCAAGTTACAAAGAATACACATATTTCTAAGAAAGATAAATATGGACAGAAACATCCAAACTGGGAAATGAAAGAGAGATTTTCCATGCAATGCACAATATCCTTTTTCTTACCTTATCCTTCAAGATATTTTTCTTATATATCCCATTTAGGGAAGAAATTGGACACCATTAAAATTGAGAACTAAACAATCAAACTTACATGTGTCTTTAACTTGCATATTGATCAAAGTTTCCCTGTGGTGTCACCCACCTTCCTGAGTGGAGATGGTCCCCTCTGGACAAGGAATGCAGTCGTAGCAGCAAACTGGCTCTCCTTCTCGAGCCTGCTTGACAAATCCAGGATGGCATTTTTCCACACATTTAGACTGAGGCAGAGACTGAGCAGAAAAAGAAGAAATGCCACAGAAAATATGTTAGGACTCACCATCCATGTAAGATGGAGGTAGACATGAACATCAGCCAAGTCATCTCTGGGCTTCACGTAGACAAATATAAAATCTCTGACCACTTCCAAATGGTTGCAGGAGAGACAATTGCAGGCAGATGCCTCATTCAGTCCCTCTCTTTTTCTTCTGACATATCAGATTACAAAAAAAATACCTTTCTACTTAACAAAGTCTGAGGGATGAAATTGAGAAAAGATTTAAGCATTAACTGACAACCGGTGGGTTCCTCCTCATAGTGGAATTAGCATGCATTCCTCCAGTCTTCATACATGCTGGATTTTAAAATAAGATATCCAAACATACTAATTTTGGAGTGACGTTTATCATAAAAGATTCATTTTTTATTCCATTAGATTTATTGAAATAGAATAAAACCATGATCAAGAAAAGATCTTCTGACCAGCAGAATCTGGAAAGGTTTCTTCTCGAGTGCATAAAACTTTGCAAAGCTGCTTCCCTTTGAACATGGTCCAAAATTATCTCGCAGTTAAGATAAAAAGGAAAATTCTTTACAAATAAGGGCTGTCAACCCTAAAGATGAACTTTATTTGTATATAAATATGTTCGGTTTATATGGCTGCCATGCTGGTGAACTAAAACTAAAATCGACTGACTAGTTTCTAAAACTATAGTGAGGTGAGATGGAGGTGAGGTCATGAGAACGTGTCCCTCAAAAAGGGTGAGTCATGGATCACGTGATGCACCACATGGGTCATGAGTGTGAGCCTTATGTGTGAAAGGGATATTCAACACACGGTATCCAACACAAGGTCCTTTCTGTTGAGAGAATACAATTAGGTGACACAATCTGACAGGGAAATACACACTCATATTTATTATTAGTTTGATCTGTAGCCTCGCAGTGTGTCCTAAGGCAGCTAACAATGAAGATAAACAATTGCATTCAAGGGATTTTCAGATGAAGTGCACTCTTACAAGCCAATGACCAAATCTAAGTAATATTTCTCTCTAAATTGTTCCTTTTTATTTCTGATTTTTTTTCCACCAAAGTGATGCTTCAGTACTTCAGTAAGCCAATCTTTTGGATGACAAAGTTGTCGGCTAGGTTGGTTTTGCATGGATTTTTATTATTTTATTTGAGACAATACTGATATTGACAATAGATGTACCATTTAAACAATGGAAAAAAAGTTTTTTATAGAAGGACACATCCAAACAGTTTTTCATTATATACAGCAATACTTTGCAGGGGCCAAGTGTACCTGTGTGTACCTCAAGGTCCAGTCCACCATCCAAGTACTAATCAAAGTCAACTCTACGTAGCATCTCTAGTCAGTCAGGATTAAAGCTAAACAAGTTGACATGCCATCATTTCACCTTCAGAAGACACAGGATTTTTAATCTGAAAGAATGCTAAGGGTTGCGGGCTGGGCTGGGCTGGGCTAGGATTGGATTGGATTTCATTTTATGTCCTTTTTTAAAAGTTTTGGGTAATCAACTTGCTGTCCCATAGTTTTTCATAAAACCCATTTTAAAAAACCAAACAAATGCAGCTTCCTCTGGGCCACGTTTGAACACGTTATGGTGTTCTCCTCATATTCTCTGCATTACAGTGTGAATAATCAGGGATCAAATTCAAACAGCTTTGTGAGAGATTTAGAGGAGAAGCGTGAGACTTATCAAACTGCCTTCTTCTGAGAGAGAAGCACCACAAATTCCTTTCAGTATTTCAGAAGAGGTTAGCTTCGTTGATTTAAAAATACCTCTGAGGGATTACAGGGTGGAAGCAGGATACGTGAAAAGTCCTCATGAAGCTTTGCTTCACTTTCCATGTGGCAAGTTCACTGAGATAACTGAAACTAAAATGTTCCTTCTCTCAAGCCTAACTCTTCGTCCCAGACAACAAAATGCCATAAGTATGAATAAATAAAAGCCCTGGTCAATTCAAATGTCCTTCTAACAACTGCTAAATAGTATCAACTTCTTCACACAGAAATTTAGGCAGCTTCTTTTCAAACAGTGTTCCTCAATTATTTTCAAACCTAAATTTAAGTCATAGTCCCCACTTATTTTTTTTATTCTTTACCTCATTTAACTTGATTACTAAACACCAAGTCAGTTGGCATCTGTGCTTTCCTCATTACCGTTGCTGCACCCACTCACTGATTTCCTCATTAACTGCTTTCTGTGGTTCTTGGGCAAAGAACCACATTATTAAATATGAATTTCCTTTCTTTTTAGGGCTGCCAATTTTGCCATTTTCAGTCTCACTGGTCTCCTACTCTTTAGAGCAGCTGTGGTTAATTCATTGTAAGGAGTTTGGAAGATTCAACTCAATACTTGGAAGGTACATTTGTAGCAGCTGATGCCTTTCAGTGTGCCAGCCTTACTGAAGACGCCCTACTTTTCTCTATTTTAACCATCTTGGATTCTTTGTGCAGCATTTTTTAGGTTTTTCTCGAGTGGCAAAAAAGACAGGCAGATGACAGTTCCCAATATAAAATCAAGAATGTTTTAAATGAAATTTGTTTGTTCTAATAGCATTTGGGCACTCTTATTAGTTTAACGAAGAGAAGGACGAGGGGTGACATGATAACAGTGTTTAAATATCTCAGGGGCTGCTCCAAAGAAGAGGGAGTCAAGCTATTCTCCAAAGGACCTGAAGGCAGGATGAGAAGCAACGGATGGAAACTAACTAACTAATGAACCAGTGGAACAACCTGCCTCCAGAAGCTGTGAATGCTCCAACACTGGAAGTGTTTAAGAAGAGATTGGACAGCCATTTGTCTGAAATGGTATAGGGTTTCCTGCCTGAGCAGGGGGTTGGACTAGATGACCTCCAAGGTCCCTTCCAATATCATCATCATCATCATCCCTATTATTACTATTATTATTTTCCATACCATTAATTTTAATAAAAATATTTATATACCCCAATTTTATAAATTGTATAAATTCCCAATTCTGCTCTGAGGGCAGCAGTTGAAGTCCTTTCATCCACCCTCAAGATACTTCTCAGATATGTGATCTGATTTCTTCTAATAGTGATATAAATTAAATCCCAAAGTTCAGCTCAATATAAGTGCATAATAGAACGGTGATATTTTGTATTTAATAATTCAGTCTAAGGAAGTTGCATACCTATGATTTTTTTTTAATAAAAAAAATGAACAGTGCATTCACTTGTGCCTTCTGAGTGAGCTCCTTTGATGTTGAGGGAGCCCAGATCCAGTCCCAGAGAAAATTCCCCCAGGTGAGGAAAGGTGTGAACTTGCTCTGTTGCCTCCTCATCGATTAGCCCTATAGGGCAATGCTGTCATTTCCCAAAGACCATCACTTTTGACTTTGACTCATCTAAAATCAGATAATTATTATGAGAATAGGATCCAAGTCCTCTTAACAGCACATGCAACCCAAATGTCATATTGGCATCACCTTTTTCTTCAATTTTGGTACATATCAATCCTACTTCTCATGGCTCCATTGAGCCCCAAACACACTCTCAAGCAAATGAACAAAAATGGGATGGAAGGGACCATGGAGTGTTCCTCAATTATTTTTAAACCTAAATTTAAGTCATAGTCTCCACTTATTTTATTATTCTCTATCTTACTTAACTTGATTACTAAACACCAAGTCAGTTTGCATCTGTGCTTTCCTCATTACCGTTGCTGCACCCACTCATTACACAAAGTAATTGTCCGTTTCTTGGGGAATAGCAGGAGTTTGACATTATTTCAAGGTTTCAAGGCACTTTTATTGATGCAGCTCCCACAATTTCCTCATTAACTGCTTTCTGTGGTTCTTGGGCAAAGAACCACATTATTAAATATGAATTTCCTTTCTTCTTAGGGCTGCCAATTTTGCCATTTTCAGTCTCACTGGTCTCCTACTCTTTAGTCCACCTGTGGTTAATTGATTTCTAATTTTGCATGTTCATCTTCTATCAGGTCCTGTATCAAGGCTATTTGATGGGAGTCCACAGAAATTGGCTCCAGCCCTCAAGGCAAGGCTTAGTAGATGTGGCTCAACAACCACCTTTTCCACTCATTGCTGGGAACTTTCAACCCATTGCTCACCAACAACCAGGCTCAATATTGACTCCCTGAGAGACCCTCCAAGGATGCTTTTTCACTGCAACAATTCTTTGCATCTTGATTACTTAACATTTTCTGTATTATATTTCTGCATCTAACACAGAAATTGTTAAATCTTTCAGTGGGTTTTTTTTCTATTCTTCTCATCCTTCAGTGTAAGGATCCTTTCTCAGAGCAATTGTATCACAGATTGGGAGAAGAAAAAAAGACAAAAGAGAAAAAGATGGTGAAAAATAGGCAAATGTTGAAAAGTCATATTTAGTTTGTGAAACTAGGATGATTTTATATGTAACTAAGTCTGAGTGTTTTGTTTTGTGAAAACAGATTTTAAGTTACTGTGTTATTCAGGGCATGGGAAAAAGGTTGTGCTTCACTTTGAAATCCTCTCTAAATCTCTACAGCATCCATGGCAACTGGATGCGACACCTGAGAACCAACAGAACTTACAGAATAACCGACTTGGCAGGGACCTGCTAGTCCAATCCCATGCTGAAGCAGGAAAGCCCTACCATTCCAGACAAATGGCTTTCCAAATTATTCTTAAAAACCTCCAGTGATGGAGCACCCAAAACCTCTGGAGCCAAAATCTCACAGTTACTCCTATTGAGCCACATATCACCTATTCTATACCTGTGCATTCATTTTTTCTTGCCTAAGTGTAAAGCCATATTCTCACCACTGAAATTTAGAGATAAGTAATAAAAAAATATGGCCCCCATGAGATCCTTTGTAACTGAAGCAGCAGGAAACATTCAATGTAACCAACACTCACAGCTTTTGGAACCCAGTTCTCCTTCTCAATTTCAGTTGATCTTCTGTGTCCCACAGGACTCCTAATAAGGAGTGGTAAGGCCACACTTGGACTTCTGCCTCCAGTTTTGGTCACCACGATGTAAAAAAGATGTTGAGACTCTAGAAAGAGTGCAGAGAAGAGCAACAAAGATGATTAGGAGACTGGAGGCTAAAACATATAAGGAACGGTTGCTGCAATTGGGGATGTCTAGTTTAATGAAGAGAAGGACAAGGGGGGACATGATAGCAGCGTTCCAGTACCTCAGGGGCTGCAGGACAAGAAGAAATGGATGGAAACTCATCAAGGAGAGAAGCAACCTAGAACTAAGGAGAAACTTTCTGACAGTGAGAACAATTAACCAGTGGAACAACCTGCCTCCAGAAGTGGTGAATACGCTCCAACATTGGAAGTTTTTAAGAAGTGACTGGACAGCCATTTCTCCGAAATGGTATAGGGTTCCCTACCTGAGCAGGGGGTTGGACTAGATGACCTCCAAGGTCCCTTCCAACTTTATCATCATTATTATTATTAACCCTTAACTAAGACTGAAGGGATATCTCGAACTCTGCATATATTCTCTGTTTTCAGAGAAATAGAAATCACCTGGATGAGGGAGGAATACTTCAACGAAAGCCAAATCAGTCTGTGCTTCATCTGAGTGCCACAAAGACCCACCAGGAAGCAGAGCAGCTGTTTTCCCAAAACCCACCCATAAAAATGTGTCGCCCATGATAGCAGTGCCAACCCCAGATTTCCACCACTTAGTTCTAAGGGCTTTTCCCAAAGTCCAGCCATTGGTGAACATGGCCGAGCATTATCATCATGGACTGTAGAGTTTGGGCAGCAATTCAGTAAGGAATTTTCTTGCAAGTCCTGAGCCTCCCATCTTTTATAGCCATAGCAGGTTAGATGTTCAACTAAGTCTGCTGCTCTTCTCAGGGCTTTTGTAACAGCTAACAAACAGGAGTGTTTCAATACAAGGAAGATGCACCGTTGCCTTATGTAAGAACTATTTTGCAACAGTTCACTGAGGTGATATGATGCAATCATTATAACTCCATAAATAGAGAGCAACCTCTGCCCCAGGAGTAAGATTTGGTCCAGAACCAGTCTCAGCATGAAGATCCTTTATCTGCTGTTCACATTTCTTTTCCTTGCATTCCTGTCTGAACCAGGTAAGAAACAAAATTACTGATAATTTACAAAGGATTGGTAACTCACTCCTTTTTAAACAAATACGATCTTCACTGAAAGCAGGATAATCTTCAACATCTTTTTGTTTTACTTTACAGAAATAGCTTTGAACAGTATAGACTATTGAGAACATGAGCCTCCAAATATTTGAAAAATATGCCATTGATTTTTCTTTTGATTCACAATTCTTGAAAGAACTTTATTGGGGGTTTTGTTATTATAGCTTATTTTTGTTGATTTGCTTCACTTTAACATTGGTTTACCAAATTCTCAGCTCACTCAAGGTCTTCATCCAAAACACACAATGCAACTGGCCACTGTAACACAGCAAGGATCCATGGCAATACTGGAGAGAAATATATCACAGCAAGGTCTATCCTTCATATGAAATAGAATTATTTCTTCCCTCCTACATTAGTAGATGTAGGCTTACCAGCTTATTCATCTTTGAGTCAGACTTCAAACGTGGGTTAAGAGCTGATTTATTTGAGCTGCTGCAGGAGATCAGCAGAGATGGATCTGTGTGGTCAGAGAAAACTTGCTGTGGTCCTAGGAATCCTGCAATTCTTGGAAGGATGCTTCCATTCCCATCTTGGATGAACGGTTACAAAAGCTGATGGAGTTAGCAGAGATGGCTAAACTGACAGCTTTGATAAAAGAAAAGAATATAAGTACTTTTGTTTGTACTTGGATACTGCTTCTGGACTTTGTGCTATAATTTGCTATAATTTGTGCTACAATTTGCTATAATTTGTGCTATAATTCTATAATTTCACACAGTCTCATTCTTCCCTTTTGGTTTATTTATTTATTGTAGTGATTACTTTGCCACTGATGTCTTCCAGCTAATGTAGTTGCTTGGGCAGAAATAGTATAAAATCAGATTTAAGCTTTTCACTAAGATCTTGGAAAGAAGCAGAAAAAAAATTCTTAAGATTATTTTTTGTCAAGTTAAATACCATTTTGATACCATTTAAATACACCTTAGAATAAGAATGACTTTGTCTGATGACTTAATATCAGCACAACCTGGAACTTGATAAAGATAAATATGCCATTGATTTTTCTTTTGATTCACAATTCCTGAAATAACTTTATTGGGGGTTTTGTTATTGTAGCTTATTTTTTTTTTGAGTACACTTCACTTTAATATTGGTTTACCAAATTCTCAGCCAAATATATCTTGTTTGAATAAGGAGGCACAATGGAGAAACAGTTTGGTCTAGTGATTAGAGCAAAACACGACAACTCTGGGTACTGAGTTCTAGTCCCACCTTGGGCCTGAAAACTGACTGAGTGAATTTGGCTAAACTGACAGTTTTGATAAAAGAAAGGAATATAAGTACTATTGTTTCTGCTTGGAAACTGCTTCTGGCCTTTGTGCTTGAGGTGGAAAAAATGATACTATGATTTTGGGGTTTACTGATTAGACTGATTTGTTGATAGAGAAATGGCTAGTTCATACTAATACAGAAATGCAAAAAGTTGAGATTTGATTTTCATGCCTTATTTTATTGCAACAGGGAATCGGAAGTCAACGCCTTTTGTTTCTTCCCCCCCTTTCCACATTTCCTCTTTCCCTATTGTTGTTCCTTACTATTTGCTTTTTATTTTGATATTTTTATGTTATAAATGAATAAGAATATAAATTGATAAAGGAATCCTGCAGTTCTGTAGAAGGAGGTAGTGTCTTGGAAGGGAAAATATATTTAAATATTAAGGAATATTTACTCATCGTTTACCTGTCTCCTCTTTTCCTTTTCATAGGGAATGCCCAACGACGGTGTCTTCGTCGAGGAGCACGCTGCTTTCCCAAAGGATGTCCTCCGAGATATTTTAACCTTGGGCAGGTGGACTGTGGGCCGCAACAGAAGTGCTGTATACGGTAAGAAAACTCTCCTCCAATAGAGATACTACAGAGTACATAATGAGATTCTCTGCCTGATATTGTTTGCATTCACAAAGCTTTGCAAAGGAAAGAATTTACTTTAAACTCACTTTGATCAACTTATTATTTTTCTCATTTGTATAGGAGAGGTGGAAAATAATGCCATCTCCATCTACGACCATGGATATCTTCAAGATATGGCCAATGACCTGAGATTGCCGCCTGCTATCGCTTTATCTTTCTTTATCTAAATAAAATTGCTACCTATCAAACTCTAAAACATTTGTGGAGAGAGAGAGAGAGAGGGAGGGAGGGAGGGAGAGGGAGGGAGGGAGGGGAAGAGAGAAACTGGGAGGAAAGGAGGGAGGGGGAGAGAGAGGGAAGGAGGGAGGGAGGGAAGGAGGGGGAGAGAGAGGGAGGGAGAGAGGGAGGGGAGAGAGGGAGAGAGAGAAAGGGAGGGAGGGAGGGAGAGGGAGGGAGAGGGAGGGAGAGAGGGAAGGAGCAAGGGAGGGGGAGAGAGAGGGAGGGAGGGGGAGAGAGAGGGAGGGGGGAGGGAGAGGGAGGGAGGGAGGTGTTGCCTGCTCTTCAACCACATATTATGCTATAATTTCACACAGTCTCATTCTTCCCTTTCAGTTTATTTATTTATTACTTTGCCACCGATGTCTTCCAGCTAAGGAGGAAGGGCTGTGGGGCGGCAGTGGCGATAGGTGGGCAGTCCTGGAAAAGGCCTCTGGGGTCTCAGGTGGAGGGAGGGAGGCGCTGGGTGCCAAAATGGGGCAGGACCCTCCAGTTGGGAAGGAGAGAAATGGCACAAATGGCTGGGTGAGTGAAGGGGGAGTCTCAGGTGTCTCCCAGTGGCTCCCCAGAAGTGCTTGAAGGGCACCACGCCTCCTGGCATCCTGGTCCTCAAACGTGGGCTTGAGGGGAAGCAGAGAAAGGGGGCCCCGAGCAGGAGGGGAGTCCTGCCCCTCCCCCTCCCTGGAAGGAGGAGGAGGCGGGCCGTCAGGAGGGGCCCCAGGGCCCATCGTCCCCAGCCGCTAGCAAAGGAGGGACCCAAACGAGAAGCGGGAGGAGGGGGAGGCCTTCCGTGAGAGACTGGCGGAAGACGCCCCCTGGAGGAGAGAGGGGGAACTCTCTCAGTGCCAGCAGGAGGTAGATTTGCTGGGGGGGGGTCTGGTGGGGGAGGGGAGGAACTTCCTGCTGGACTCCGCCATCCTCCCCGGGTGGACAAAGGCAGGCAGAAGCTCAACTGGTCCAGCAGATCTACTCTCTGCAGGAAACGTTGGATCTAAAGGGGGAGGAATTATGGAGGGAGGGGGCTGAAACTTTTTGGGGTGGAGGGAAAGTAAGATCCATGCCCCCCCTCTCTCTCTGCCTTTGGGGGGGGGCGGGGAATATGGGGAAGGGGGCAGAATGAGTGACACTCCTGAGGGGTCCCAGCCCTTCAACCTCCCACCTTCCCTGGGTCCCCCCAACTTATCTTTTTCCCCCCAACCTTCAGCCCAACTCCCTGCCTTGGGATGATTTTCGAGATTCAGACTTGTGTCGTCTCCCCCTCCCCAAAAGCCCCCCTGCAGCCCCCCCAAGAGCATCTCAAAGGGAGGGTCTCCAGCCCCCCTCACGATAGGGATTGTTTTGGGGAGCCATAGGGGAGCCATTCAGAGCCCCCCCAAATGCTCCTCTCTCGCTTCCCCCCTCCCTCCAGGTCCCGATAGAGCAACGGGGGATTATGGGGTGGGGGTTTCTTGGCTCCTCCCCAAATTCAGAGCCTCCCCCGGAAGGGACCGAAGCTCAACTCCGGCCTGACTTTGAAAGCCTCAAATTTGAGATTTGGGGAGAAAACTTGAAGTCTTTGAAGAAGCAAAAATACTTTGGCCAAAATGCAGCTTTTTCCTTGTGTGGATTCAGGTCTGAAAATGCCTCAGTTTCCCTCTTTCTCTTTCGCTTTCCCTCCCCTTCCTCTTTCCATGCAGCCGCTCCGACCCGGCCATTTTGGAGGGGGGGGCGATAGAGGGGCCCGGCTGCGACTCCCCACCTCTGCTGCAATCGGGAAAGAGGGGGTCCCTCTCCGCCCTCCTGGGGGGGAGGTGGGGAGGGAAGGGGGAGGAGACCACGCAGAGATCGAGGCTGTCGCTGGCTCCCGTCACTCTTACCGTCTGAAGAGCTAGCAGCTTTCTTCCCCCTCCCCCCCCACGAGTCTCGGGGGTGATTCCCAGCCCCCTCCTCCCCCCAAACCTCCTCCTCCCCCGCCCACCCCCCTCCTTACCGGGGGTCTCCTTCCCCCCTTCGCTTCCGGGGATCCGGGCCAGCGCTCCAACTACCAGCAGCAGCAGCATCAGGGGGAGCCCAGCGGAGCCCATGGACGCCGCCCCACAAGCGCCCCAGAGAGAGAAGAGACGGAGACGCGGAGGCTCCCAGCCCCAGAGGCGGAATTGGGGGGAGGGGGCGTTTTCCTCGAACTTCGGAATTGGGAGGGCCCAGAAGCAGGAGGACCAATCGGAATTCTCCCTTCCGCAGCGTCATCGGTCTCCGGGCAGAGTCTCCCTTGACTTCACCCGATGGAGGAGAGAGTTGGGCGCAGAGGGAGAAGCGGAGAAGCGGAGAAGGGGGGGGGGATTTTATGGGGGGGGGGAATCAGCCCTGGGACCCCCTCCCCAGAATCGACCCTCTTGAGGTTGGCTCCGTTCCTCTGGGTGGGAGTGGGAGGGGATATTTTGCCAGAAGAAGGGGAAAAAAATCCATATCCATGGACGGGATTTATAAGAGGATCCGCGCAGGTTTTCTCCCTTGTGAAAGATCTCAGTGCTATTTTAAGAAGGAGGGAGGGATGGACAGCATAGTAAACCAAAGAATACATTTATAATTTATAAAATAACCCGGACAGTTAATAGAAATTCTGTGGACTTCAGTAATTCTATATACTCTCAAGTATAGGATTACAGCCTTATCCATTAAAATCTAAAAACTTCCCCCCCAAACTATCCCAAAAACCACACATTCTTTTTTTTTTTTTTTATGTTTCACTACATCCATGGAAGCCATTTTTTCTAGGACATTCGGGTTGTGGTCAGTTCCGCAAAGGCGGGTCAGGCCGATCCTGAATTCCCGATTATGTTCAAAAGAGCTTTGGGGGTCCAGAGGGGGCCTGAATCCTTCCAAAGGAATTGGGGGGGGGGTCTGGAGGGGTCACACTCCCCCCTGGCCCAGCACCAGCCCCTCAAGCCAGAGCCGGGTCCCCCCCCCCGCAGCCGAAGGAGGCTGCCCCACAGTTGTGTCCATCCATCCAGTCGCCCAAAGTGGGTCCCAGATCCAGGCAGCGTCTGTGTGGGGGGGGGGGCTCCATCGCTCGCCTGATCAAAGCAGAACTCCTGGACTCTTTTCGTGTTTCCCCAGGAAGATTTTGGTTTTCTCTGAGTTCCTCCTGCCCCCCCAGCCCTCCACCCCCCCCCCACACACAAACACACAGAGAGGAACTTTGTTTGTTTCTGCAACCCCCGACAGCTGGAGAAGTTCTGGAGTTTCGCTTTCCCCCCCCGCCCCCGGCCTGAAGCGCTGGGCTCCCCCGAAGCGGAACCGAGGAACTGGCCCTGATCCAGCAGGCAACAAGCCCGGATTCTTCCCCAGGGCAGCTCCGGGACTCTCCCGCTTCTCCCCCCGTGGCTGAGTCTCCCCCTCGGTCCTCCGACCTCCCCGCTTGAAGCGGTTGAGGGGCCCCTCCCGACCCCCGGGGAGACCCCGGACAGCCCAGGGAGGAAACCCAGGGAGGGCTGGAGAAACGTCCCCAAAGGACCCAAAGGCTCCGATTCTCGATTTTCCTCCTTCACACGTTACGGGGAGACTCGGCTCTCGGGGGGGGGGGAGGTTGAAGGGGCTCTGATGCCGGGAAAGGTGGAAGGAAAGAGAGGGAAAGGAGGAGAAGCAGGGAGGGGGAGGGGCTCAGCTGCAGTGGGGGGAGGGGGATGCTGAGGGAGGACCTGGAGGAGTGGGGGAGGGTCTCCCCAGAGAAAGTCTATCCATGGGGGGGGGGGGTTAAACGTTGACACCGACTTGATGGCACAAACGATCTTCAGCCCATCTGGTTCAAGGAGATCTCCCGTCTTTTCCCCACCAATTAAAGCGCTGGGGATGGAGATGACTTCACAGCAGTTCATTTCATGGCTGTTCAAAGTTACAAGGACACTCAACAACCCGACTCTTCGCCTAATATTTCTTCTTTTTAATTTTTTTATTGTTTTTAATGTTTTTTTTAATAATTTCATGTATATACCTGTGTTTAGCTTTGTGTATCCAACCGAGTCACTTGTTGTGAGATGGGTGGTTATATAAATTTGATAGCTAGATAATATAGAGGGGGCGGTAGAGAGATAGAGATGATAGATAGATGATAGAAGAGATAGATATAGATAGATAGATAGATAGATAGATAGAGAGAGAGAGAGAGAGAGAGATAGATAGATGAGAGAGATAGATAGATGATAGATAGATGATAGATAGATGATACATATATAGATAGATAAATAGATGATAAATAGATGATAGAGAGAGAGAGATGGATAGATGAGAGAGATAAGACAGAGAAAGAGAGATAAATAGATATATAGACAGACAAACAGACAGACAGACAAGATAGAGAGATAGACATAAAGAGATGAGAGAGATGAGGGGGTGGCAGGGAGAGAAAGAGGGAAAGAGGGAGAGAAGGAAAGAGAGGGGGATAGAGAGATAGAGATGAGAGAGATGAGAGAGAGATGAGAGAAAGAGGATAGACAGACAGACAGAGATAGATATATAGACGGACAGACAGATAAGATAGAGAGGGAGAGATGTGGATAGACACAAAGAAATGAGAGAGATGAGAGGGAGAGAGTGGGAGGGAGGGAAAGAAAGAGGGAAAGAGGGGGAGAGAGGGAGAGAGAGAGAGAGAGGGAGAGGGAGAGAGAGAGAGAGAGAGAGAGAGAGATTCTGGGATTTCCAGACCGCTTCATCCCAGGACTAGCCTGGACTGGCCTTGCAGAGTTGCTGAGATCAGCCCTGCTGAGGGAGGGATTTTCACCTGCTGACGGGGAGTCTTTCCTCTCCAGATCATCCTAAAAGCCCTTGTGGAAGAGAGAAAATAGCGTCTCTGAGACGAGACTCAAATGAAGGAGCTGCTGCTTCTTTACCCGTCATATAAAGTGTTTGTTTTCATCTTCCAAAATACGTTCTCCTTGTGGCACACTGATCAAAATGGGTGAAATAACCAAATTAGTTAATTCCCATTCTAAAAAGCATGCTTTCAAACCGGCGCAAAGAATGGCAAGAACACTGGATTAAAAAACACCAATGTAAGGCAGAGTTAGGGGGGGTCTTATGGGAAACAGAAGGAGACCATTTTTCCTAGGCAGCAAAAGGAGGGAAAGAAAGGGAGCAAATGGATCAGTCTCTAAGGAAGGATTTGGCCCGAAGGCTTTGAATTAAAGCGGTTGGGAGTCTCCTGGCCTTTCTCCACCTTTGATTTCAGTGCCCAGGGGAGGCGCCCCAGATGGGAAGCATCCAGAATCTGGTTTGCAAAAATGTAACAGAATAACAGAATAACACAGCTAGAAGGGACCCTGGAGGTCCTCTAGTCCAGCCCCCTGCCCATGCAGGAGACCCTATACCACTTCAGACAAATGGCCGTCCAGTCTCTTCTTCAAAGCCTCCAGTGATGAAGCCATCACAACTTCCTGAGGCAAGCAGTTCCACTGATCAATTGTTCTCACTGTTAGGAAATTGCTCCTTAAATCCAGATCTTCCATCCATTGCTTCTCGTCCTGCCTTCAGGCGCTTTGGAGAATAGCTTGACTCCCTCTTCTTTTGGGCAGCCCCTCAAATATTGGAAGACTGCTATCATGTCCCCCCTCGTCTTCTCTTTGTTAAACTAGACTTACCCAATTCCAGCAACCATTCTTTGTATGTTTTAGCCTCCAGTCCCCTGATCATCTTTGTTGCTCTTCTCTGCTCTCTTTCCAGAGTCTCAACTTGTTTTTTACATCGTGGCGACCAAAACTGGTTGCGATATTCCAAGTGTGGCCTTACCGAGGCCTTGTAAAGTGCTATTAAAACTTCAGGTGATCTTGATTCTCTCCCTCTGTTGAGGCAGCCTAGGACTCTTAGGGAGATTGGAGTCCGGTGGGGCTGACCCCCTAGTTCCCTTCTCTACTTTATGAGGGACAAAGTTGTCTGCTAGGTTCATCAGGAGCCTGCTGGATCTCCCACTAGGCGCAAAAAACTGTCTCCCAGTTGATGTCAGGGTGGTCAAAGTCCCCCATTGCTATTTTGCTCTGTTTTCTCCATGCCTTAGCTAACTGATTAAGAAAAAGTTCATCTATTTCCTCTGTTGGGTTGGGGGCTTTATAGTACACCCCAATGGTGATGTCGTTCTGTTTTCCCTTTTTTAACCCAAATGCTTTCGAGGAGATTTTTGTCTTTGTTCTGTAGCATTTCTGTAGTTATTTCTTATATATAGTGAACTCCACCTTTTATTAAGTCTGTTTCTTTTCAACACTTTAAATATTAAGATACTAAGTTTAGTAGATGGAACAGTAAAGTGGACAATGGGCCGGGACACAGAGTTGTAGTTGGTTGGTTGGAGAGTGCTGGCTCCTGTGTGAGGTTATCTATGCAATGATTGGTTGCTGTGGGTGTAAAGGGGGCGTTTCCCCCCTTTCCCCCACCTTTTTCTTCTGTGTGCTCCGTCTGCTGATTGGTTTATCTCACAATGTTTCTGTGTTCCTGATTATCTTTTCTGCTGTGAATATAAATGCTAAATAGATTTATATAACACTACAGGTTTGTGTCATTTGGACAGCTGCTTTGCAATACAGATGTTATACTTATGGATGTAAAACTACAAGTTTGTGTCATTGTCTCCCACTTCACTTGAACAGCTGCTGCGCAATTCCTCGACATTAAATCTCTTAAGTTGTGCCTTCCAGTTGTGGGTTTCATCCCACTAAGTTTCAGTGATTGCAATGTCATACCTGCCTTTGGGTTTCAAGTTCTCCCTGATTTATTCCTCGTACTTTGAGCATTGTTGTAGAAGCATCTGAGTCCCTTTTGACTGACCCTGTGTTTGGTTTCCACATCCCCTCTTTTTGTGTCTGAGTTCTCCTTTTTCCTTTCCATTTGGTTGATTGCCCACAGATTTGTGCTTGGAATTAGCTTCTAAAAAATCCATCTCTCTCCTCCTTTGGTTTCAGTTTAAGACCCTTCAGATAGGACAAGCCAGTTGGCTTCCAAAGACGACATTCTCAGTTCTTATGAAGTGTAGCTCATCCCCTGCCAGAAGCCCCTCATGTGGGTATTG